ACAGCGACTATGCTCTTCTCTGCTGCTAGGAGGGCCTTCTCGAGGAGGTCAACGGTGAGAGTGGTGGGGCAAACTGAGAGGAAGTGGTCCCTGACTACGCGAAGGGAGTCAGGGAGGCGGGTGACTATGTAGTAGAGGGTGATGTACATGGGGGGGGATTCTTGGCGCAGAACTCAGCAGGAAGCGCAGCGCGGTAGCGAGTGTCACTAGTGCGGAGGTGCGTAATGAGGTCAGCGACTGTGGGGAAGGCAGCAAGGTCAGGGAAGAGGTACGGTAGCATGAGGCGGCTAAATGCAGCAGTGGCAGGGGAGGAGTAGCGTGCAACTACAACGTCGTACAAGGTCTGAGCACTCTTGTACTGGCTAAAGTGCGCACGCTTAGAGGTAGGCAGGTGGCGACGCACAACAAGACGTGCAGCAGCATTGCGTGTGGCCCAGTGTGAGCGAACAGTGGCGTCAGCATCAGCAGCAGGGGCAGGAGAGGCACCTGAGGTGAGGTCAAAGAGAGAGAGACCGTCTGCCCTATCGCACTGTAAGAAAAGCTGCAGGTCATCTACCCAGACGTCAAAGTCAATGGCCCGATCCTCAGCGTCAAAGGCGAGGACACTAGAGGTAGCCATGCCAGCAGTAGACTAGCAGCGCGAATAGTAGGGTAAGGGCAGTGTAGTGATAGAGGCGCTGCTCTTACCGGACAGGGCGGCTCGGGCGGCTTGGCGGCTCGGCAGCTACTGCGGCTCGGCGACTCGGCGGCTTGGGCAGCTCGGCGGCTCGGGCGGCTCGGGCGGCGCGGCGACTTGGCGGCTCAGCAGCTGGGCGGCTCGGCGTCTCGGCAGCTCGGCTGCAAGGCGGCTCGGCGGCTCGGCTGCTCGGCGGCTCGGCGGCTCGGCTGCTCGGCTGCTGGGCGGCTCGACGGCTGGTGTGGCTGGTGATGGCTGCGGCAGCAGTTGCAGGAGCTGTGGCGACTGCTTCTGCTGAGACGGCGGCGGCTGCTGCCTCTGGGACTGCGGCGGCCGGCCGCTAGGGGCTGCGAAGGGCGGCGGAGGGGCTGTGAAGGGCGGCACGAGGGGCCGCCGAGGGCGGCGACGGGCCGTGAGGAGGCCGCGGAAGGCGGCTCGAGGGGCCGCGAGAGGGCCGTAGGGGGCCGACGGGCGGCGGAAGGAGGCCGTAAGGGGCCGAAAGGGCGGCTCGAGGGGCCGTAAGGGCGGCGTTAGGAGCCGTAAGGGCAGCACGAGGGGCCGTAAGGGCGGCGCGACGGGCCGTAAGGGCGGCGCGACGGGCCGTAAGGGCGGCGCTAGGGAGCCGGGAGAGGGCCGCTAAGGGCGACGCGACGGGCCGTGAGGGGCCTAGCGAGGGCGCGACGGTAGGGAGAGCACACTGTGAGAATTGAAACGAGAATGAATGAACTATGAAACAATTGGGTACAAGTACTAACCCTAATTGGGTTGTACCCCATATGGGCTATCCCACTACAGCCTACACAAAAGCATAAGCTACAATGTTCTGACAAACCCCCATAGGCAAAGTGGGGGAGAACAAGCGGTCACAAGACCAGTAAAGCAAAGCAAAGCAAAGCAAGCTCAGGGTGGATCACAAAGTCACCACACATTCCGAGCACAAGTTCAAGGCCACAAGGCCAGTTCACATGCAGGAGTACATATATATATAGAAAGCTAGACAAGCAAGAGCAGGTGTATATATATGTAACAGTACAAGCAAGGTCAAGAGGTGAGCAAGTGAGGCAAGACAGGCACAAGACCAAGCTGAGTACAGAAGCGCTGATGATCACAAGGTGCAAGTGCCTTGGTGAAGACATCAGCAGTGTTGGCCTCAGAGGTCACGTACGCAAGACACAGCTGACCACGCTGCTGCAGCTCACGAGCAAGGAAGTAGCGAAGAGCAATGTGCTTCGTTCTGTGCTCCAGTCTCTGCTCTCATCACAAGGCCAGCATGGCCTTGTTGTCTACGTATAGCACTGGAGGAGAACGAGGCACCTCTCCAAAGTCAGTCAGCAGGTAGGTGAGCCAGCGAAGCTCCTGTGCAGCCATGGCCCCGGCGTAGATCTCACCCTCACAACTGGAGCCGAGAACAGAAGACGAGCGGATAGCCCGCCACAAAACAGAGCCGGAACCAAGGCTGAAGGTGTAACCCTGTGACGACCGCTGCGTAGCCTGGTCGTCCGCCCAAGAAGCGTCTGCGTGCCCAGTGAGGACCACTGGACTCCGCCCTCCAAGCACAAGCCCCATGCCCGACGTACTGCACAAGTAGCGCAACACCCTCTTCCCTGCAGCCATATGCTCCGATCTGTGTCTCCCAGGAGCAACATAACGTGCGAGAATGCTTAGAGGGTATGCAAGGTCAGGTCGAGTGCAGGTCATCAGGTACATGAGGCAGCCAACAAGCTCTGGGTACGGGCCACTCGACTCTACGGACTCATCCGAAGGTAGAGCTGAGAGCGAGTGACGAGTAGGCAGAGGAGTGGCCTGAGGCGAGGAGTACGTGAAGCCGAAGCGCTGAAGGACCTGCTGCACCATGTGTGATTGAGTCAGGGTAATGGTGCGCTGTGCTATGTCCCGGGTGATCTGCAAGCCAAGGTAGCTGCGCAGTTCACCCAGGTCTGTGCACGTGTGTCTCTCTTGCAGCTCGGACTTCACGTGGGCGAGTCCAGCAGTGTCAGCTGTGGCAAAGACCAAGTCGGCGACGTACACGAGGATGTAGAACGGCGGCAAAGAAGTGTCGGTGCGCAGAAACAGCGACGGGTCAGCAGTAGAGGGAGCAAACCCAAGAGCCGCAAGCGTAGTCCTCAGTGTGTCGTGCCAATCGCGCGGTGTCTGGCGAAGACCGTAGATTGGCCGCCGGAGGCTCCACTGGGTGCCACGAGGAAAAGTCCCTGTGAAGCCAAGTGGGCGGCGCAGCGAGATCTCCTCGTGCAGGCTACCCTGCAAGAAAGTAGTGCTGAAGTCAAGAGAGTGAAGCTCGTAGTCGCGCTGAGCGGCTATGTGCAGCAGCACCCGAAGAGTGGTCATCTTCGGGGTGGGAGAGAAGGTCTGAAAGTAGTCAACTCCCTGCCGCTGACTGAAGCCACGAGCCACATACCGCGCCTTGAAGACAGGGGGGGGAACCCGGCGGCCGCTTCACCCTGAAAATCCACATGCCACTGAAGATGTTCGCCCCAGGTGGGGTAAGTTCGTCAACGTAGGTGCCTGTGGACTTCCAGGAAGCCATCTCTGCATCCATAGCTGCCTACCACTGAGAGAAGTAGGGACCCTCTATCGCCTCCGCGTAAGAGTGCGGAGTCGGGATGTCAAGTGCATCCGGGTCTCCCTTAGGGGTAAGCAGTACGCACACCAGATGAGGTGAAGCAGCAGCCAGACACTGGAACTCCTCCTGCCTGTCCTCAAGGACGTCCGTGCCAAGGGCACACTCACCCCCGACGGACGGAGGACAGACAGACTCAGACTCAGCGACAAGACTAGCATTGTAGTCTAGACGACAGCGAGCAGCAAAGTCGACGAGCTCAGCAACTAGGGCAGACGCAGTAGTGGACTCAAAAGAAGGGTCAGTGACGACAGTAGCAAGGAGACGCGTGACAGTAGGACTGGCAGCACGAAGAGAGTCCGACTCTGGGTCGGCAAGAGCAGGAAGAGAAGACTCAGGAGGAGAAGGCAAAGGGACACGCAGAGGAGCAGTGGACGGACGCAGAGACATCCGGTGCGTGCCAGGGACAGGAGGAGGACGCTGACGCGAACTGCGACCACTCGTGCGAGCAGCACGGACAGGCGACGCAGGGCGAGATGCAGGCTCACGACGCTTAGCAAGACCTCCAGTAGGACCAGTGTAGGGAGAAGGAGGAGGCAGCGGGGAGGCCGGCTGTAACCGGAACTGTGACGGGACAGGCTGTGGACACTCTTAGGGAGGAGGAGAACCAGTAGAAGGCGGGAGACCAAGAACCTGCTGAAGGAGCGGAACAAACTACGGCCGAGGCCGCGCGGCAACTCCTGACACAGCAGGGACAGCACCAGCACCCCCAGCGGCAGCACCAGCGCCAACAGCACTTCCAGCTCCAGTAACTCCAGCAGCACCGCCACCAGGACGGACAGCAGTAGCCTCAGCGCCAACACCCGCAGCAGCTCCAGCTCCAGACGCACCCGCCGGCCCAGCAGCTCCAGTACCTTCCGTACGAGCACCTCCAGGACCGGCAGCACTAGCACCCTCAGCAGCCGAAGAAACCCTAGCTCCAGTAGTACGCCTCCAGCGTCGGCCAAACCACTCGCGCAGCTCCTGTGGAGAGAGGGGCTCCCGCCGAGATGAAGCACCCAGAGAACCTCGAGGCCCAGCACCGCCGGACGCCTCACAAACAGGCCCAGCTCCCTCAAGCTCAGTACCTCCTATCGTAGCACCCCCAGGCTTAGCACCCCCAGGCGTAGTACCCCCCGGCTCAGCACCCCCAGGCCTAGTACCCCCAGTCTCAGCACCCCCAGTCTCAGTACCCCCAGGCTCAGCACCCCCAGTCTCAGTACCCCCAGGTGTAGCACGCACACGCACAGCACCTCTAGAGTCAGCACCCCCAGGCTCAGCACCAGAGTCACCAGTGACCTCGACAGGCTCGACTGCGTCTACCTGGGACACATCTGAAGGGGACGGACCCTGAGGGGGGAGGGGGTCTACCGGAGGGGGACCTGGTACAAGGAAGAGCGGCGGCAGGGGGAGGGACGGAGTGCGGTAGGGGAAGAAGGGGTAGTAGGGGACTGACTCGTCAAACGTGACGTCCTGGGAGGATAGAACACGGCGAGAGGTGGGGTGGTAGAACTGCCACCCTGGCGCGTCAGGGGGGAAACCTAGGAAGACGCAAGGAGCAGCACGAGGGGACAACTTGTCCGCAGACAAGTCGCGGACAAACGCCCGAGATCCCCAGACACGGAACGCAAACGCATCGCCAACCTTCCCCGTCCACAGCAAGGCTGGGGAGGTCTCCGGCATGGAGACCCTGGGGTGAAGGTTGATCTAATGCGCCGCGTACCGAACCGCAAACGGCCACAGAAAATGGGGGGCAGCCGCATGCATCATGGACGTACGAGCGGCGTCCATGACTATGCCAATGCGGCGCTCAGCAATCCCATTTTGCTGTGGAGATTCCGGAAGCGTAAAGGTCTGGCGGATGCCTCGCGCACGACAGTAGGCTCGCAGAAGGCCAGATGAGAACTCTCCGCCTCTGTCAGAGTGCAGACGCAGAACAGGAAAGTCCGAGCCGAAGCTCTGCCTGAGCTGGAGACGAGCTGCGCGGATCCAGTCGATCAACACCTCAGTGACATCACCCTTGCTGCGCAAGGGGAAGACTGTGGTGTAACGCGAGTAGTCTTCAACCACCAACAGGAAGTAGCGCTCGTGACCCTGCCCAGGAACGCGGGCCGGGCCCCACACGTCCATGTGAAGCGTCTGCAGCGGGGCCTCCGTCGGAGGAAACTGGGAGGTGTGAGGGGCAGCCCGCTGCCGCCCCTCGACACAGGGGACGCAGGTAGGGCCAGGCCCCAGAGGAAGGGGAGGGAGGGACCGGGGAAGACCAGAGACAATGACACGGGAGGCCATGCCTCGGAGACGAAGCAGGGAGGGGTGACCAAGGCGGTGGTGCCAAAGGAGAGTCTCGTGAGACAGGAGGCGACACGAGCAGGCGGCAGACTCAGGACGAGACCCGGACGCTGCAGCAAACACCTGACCCGACGTAGCTACCTGACCGGACGCAGGGACAGATGGAGACGTAGTAGACAGTGTGTACAGGTTCGACCCCGGCCGACGAGTAAACGTGGCCAAGTGTCGGCCCGTCCGAGCGTCCGTGCAGTGGGTCACTCGCTGGCTCGCAGGAGTGAACTCGTGAACTCCCCCATCCTGAAGGTCAGCGCCACTCACCAAGTTCGTAGAGAACGAGGGAAGGTAAAGACCAGACAGGGTGCCAGAGGGAGCCGCCGGACACGGGAGGACAGTGGAGAAGTGAGCAAGGACAGGACCCCCAGAGGGGTCCGCTAGAGAGACCGCAACTGGCCGACCAAGCGGCATGAGTGTGGTGCGGTCTCGAAAGAAGGAGCGAGACGCCCCCGAGTCAAGGGTGAAGGTGAGGGAGGCCAAAGCGGACTCGGTACCTGAGAGCGCGGACTCACCAGTACCTGAGGAAGCAGACGCACTAGCACCTAGAGCAGCAGCCTCGCTAGCACCTAGAGCAGCAGCCTCACCAGTACCTAGAGCAGCAGTCCCAATGCCCGGGCCGGGCGGGAAACACCGGTAACAGTCACCCTCATCACTAATAGTCACAGCATACATGGCAACAAGAACAGCATCAAAGTCAAGATCAAAGATAGCTACGCCCGCCCTAGACAGCTCACCCCAGCGGGGGATCTCCGTGGCCTCCGGAAACTGGTGACGCCAAGCGTCCGACAGGCGGCCAAAGCAGCGCTGGGTGGGGTGCGCACCCCCACACTGCTCACCCGTGCGGTCGCCGGTGCGGAGGACGTAGGTGCACGGACCAGTACCCCCACCCCGCTGGCGTGCAGCGTACCACTCACGGAGCTGCTGAGGGGGGGGGATGTCACGAGTGCGCTGTTGCTGCTGCTGTTGCTGGCGCTGACCACCACCGGAGCCGACCCTCTGCGTAGCGCCACCCCGACCAGCTCCACCTCCTCCGCCGCCGCCACCTCCGCCACCTCTGCTCCCACCACCACCGCCGCCGCCTCCTCCGCCTCCACTCCCGCCACCGACACCTCCACTCCCACCACCACCCCCACCGCCACCCCCACTCCCTCCGCCGCCTCCACCGCCGCCTCCACCGCCCCCGCTAGCTCCTCCAGCGCCCCTGCCCCCCTTGCCCTTGCCAGGGCGGCGTCTCCCGCTAGGGGTAGACGCCGCACCGACCGACTCAAGACCAACGAGGTCGGCCGCAGCAGCAGAGGCAACAGAGGGCAAAAGGGGGGAGGGGGAACACCCCTCAAAGATGGGGGTGCGAGGGTCACCACGAGAGGCTCCTACAGCGACTATGCTCTTCTCTGCTGCTAGGAGGGCCTTCTCGAGGAGGTCAACGGTGAGAGTGGTGGGGCAAACTGAGAGGAAGTGGTCCCTAACTACGCGAAGGGAGTCAGGGAGCCGGTTGACTATGTAGTAGAGGGTGATGTACATGGGGGGGGGTTCTTGGCGCAGAACTCAGCAGGAAGCGCAGCGCGGTAGCGAGTGTCACTAGTGCGGAGGTGCGTAATGAGGTCAGCGACTGTGGGAAAGGCAGCAAGGTCAGGAAAGAGGTACGGTAGCATGAGGTGGCCCAGTGCAGCAGTGGCAGGGGAGGAGTAGGGTGCAACTACAGCGGCGTACAAGGTCTGAGCACTCTTGTACTGGCTAAAGTGCGCACACTCAGTGGTAGGCAGGTGGCGACGCACAGCAAGACGTGCAGCAGCATCGCGTGTGGCCCACTGTGAGCGAACAGTGGCGTTAGCATCAGCAGCAGGGGCAAGAGAGGCACCTGAGGTGAGGTCAAAGAGAGAGAGACCGTCTGCCCTATAGCACTGTAAGAAAAGCTGCAGGTCATCTATCCAGACGTCAAAGTCAATGGCTCGACCCTCAGCGTCAAAAGCGAGGACACTAGGGGTAGCCATGACAGCAGTAGACTAGCAGCGCAAACAGTAGGGTGAGGGCAGTGCTCTGAAAGAGGCGCTGCTCTTACTGGACAGGGCAGCTGGGGCGGCTCGGCTGCAGGGCGACTCGGCGACTCGGCTGCTGGGCGGCTCGGCGGCTCGGCTGCTGGGCGGCTCGGCGGCTCGGCTGCTCGGCTGCTGGGCGGCTCGGCGGCTGGGCGGCTCGGCTGCTGGGTGGCTCGGCTGCTGGGCGACTCGGCTGCTGGGTGGTCCGGCGGGGCCGCTGAGAGGGCGTCCGGGGCCGCTGGGAGGAGGCGGCGGGGCCGCTGAGAGGAGGCGGCGGGGCCGCAAAGGTAGGCTGCGGGGCCGAAGGTAGATGGCGGGGCCGCTGGTTGGTGGCGGGGCCGTAGGTAGGTGGCGGGGCCGCAGGCAGGTGGCGGGGCCGCAGGTAGGCGCTGGGGCCGCACAAGTAGGTGGCGGAGCCGCGGGTAGGTGGCGGGGCCGCAGGTAGGTGGCGGGGCCGCTGGTAGGTGACGGGGCCGCAGGTAGGTGGCGGGGCCAGCAGGTAGGTGCCGGGGCCGCACAGGTAGGTGGCGCGGCCACAGGTAGGTGGCAGGGCCGCTGGTAGGTGGCGGGGCCGCAGGTTGGTGGCGGGGCCAGCAGGTAGTTGCCGGGGCCGCACAGGTAGGTGGCGGGGCCGCGGGTAGGTGGCGGGGCCGCACGTAGGTGGCGGGGCCAGCAGGTAGGCGCCGGGGCCGCACAGGTAGGCGTCGGGGCCGCAGGTAGGCGCCGGGGCCGGTAAGGGCGGCGTCAGGGCTGCAGGGCGGCGCGAGGGCCGCTGGTTAGGCAACGAGGCCGCAGGGCGGCGGATCGAGGCCGGAAAAGGGCGGCGCGATGGCCGCGGGGTAGGCGACGAGGCCGCAGGGTGGCGGGTCGGGGCCAGGAAGGGTGGCGCGAGGGCCGCAAGGCAGGCGACGGGGCCGCTAGGGCGGCGCGACGTGGCGAGAAAAGGGGGGAGCGCGACTCGGGCTAGGGCTGAGCGCGCTCCGGGCAGGAAAAAAAATGTCGAATTGGTGGGCCCTAGGAACAGTTCCCACGAGGGAACCTGCTCGATACCATGTGAGAATTGAAACGAGAATGAATGAACTATGAAACAGTTGGGTACAAGTACTAACCCTAATTGGGTTGTACCCCATATGGGCTACCCCACTACAGCCTACACAAAAGCATAAGCTATAATGTTCTGACACACACGGGGCGCGATTCGGGCCGGAGCGAAGCGCGCTCCGGGCAGGAGAAAAAAAAAGTTCGTGGTGGTGGGCCCTAGGAATCGTTCCCACTAGGGAACCTGCTCTGATACCATGAGAAGAAACGAGGAATGATTGAACTATGAAACAGTTGGGTACAAGTACTAACCCTAATTGGGTTGTACCTCTTATGGGCTACCCCACTACAGCCTACACAAATGTATAAGCTATAATGTTCTAACAGATATAGGTATAATGGCAAAACGCGATAGTGATATTGTCTCTCGAATTTATTAATATAGTTTTAGATTAATAAAACAGATCATACACACATTCGAGCATCACACATGCGCGCTCATAAAGGTAAATGCGCGGTTTTATATGAGCGCGATCTTACATGACCGCGTCTGATTGGACGCGCAAGGTCAGAAAAGGCCCCGCGCATAAAGTCGACCAATCAGGCGCACTCTGTAATTGGTCGCGCGTACTGACATCCGTCCAACTGAATATATAACCGTGGAATCATATAACTATGCACGGATTGGTTATGATATGGACCGAAATTGAGCGCAACTGTTTGCCTAGATGACTGTGCTGATTTTTGTCGCGTATCCGAACAGTGACGACGCCGCCCTCGTGCACGTCTTTCCGGGTACGCCATACTTTCGCGGGAAGAGACACGTTCGACGTAAAAATTTCTGGGCTAAAAACCGGTTTTGGGTAATGTGCCGGATAAAAAAAAAGCCAGAGGCAACCTTGGCAAGACCACTCGAGCAATTATCATCGAATTGTCCGACCACGGTAGCAATTCGAGGCCACGTGTGCAACGGCAAATCACCGTTTCGGGGTCTGGAGAAATTCTCTCGCATTTTGCCCATTGGCATTCTACCGAGCTGCAATTGCAGCTCTTGGTGCGTGCGTGAATCTCAGATGTGCATTTAGGCGACAACTTCAGCTGCAATCTAATAAAGCCAGATGCGATCCCTAACCGTCCGCCTGGAAGAAGCTGATGGGTCGTAATCTGCCCGCGGTCTGAAAAAAATAAACCCCATCTGGATGGCATGCGACTAGGGGAGCTCCAACCCTAAACACGAGGAGCCCCAACCCTAAACACGGGCAGCCGCTTGGTTCTGCCCGAAAATATTGCATTTGCAAACCCGCACTGGGAAAATGAGATCGCAACTCGAATTGTCCGGTGCATTTAGCTAGCAAAGCAAGCAAGGCGGCGCAGCTAGCGAAGCGAAGCGAGCGTGGCGACTCAGCGCCGCCCTTCGATGTAAACTTGGAGCTAGCGTAGCGAGCGTGGCTGACGTGGCGCCTCTCGTTGTAAATGTGCAGCTGGCGAAGCGAGCACGGTTGACTAGACGCCCTTTGATGTACATCCCGTTTCGCGCCACACTGACATTCGCTGTATTGACATGCCGCCTATTCTGACATCAACACGTCCAAAACGGTCCCAGAACATTGCATATTAGCACAATTTGCCGCACTCAACCGTACGCGATAACAATGTTCTGTCATCAAACGATTTGTATCGTTCAAATGGACTGCATTTGCCCGCCACCTACCTGGGGTTCGGCTGCAATCACCAGCCCGCAAAATCCAAGCGCACGTTCGCACTGTAGCCCGGGCTCCCGATTGTCAGAACGTTGAGAAACAGGGTGTAAACTTGCAGCTTGCGTAGCGAGAGTGGCTGACGTGGCGCCTCTCATTGTGAACGTGCAGCTAGCGAAGTGAGCGTGTTGATTCAATGCCTTTCGTTGTAAGCTTACAGCTAGCGGAGCGTGTGTGACTGAATCGACGCCGTTCGTTGTAACATTGCAGCTAGCGAATCGATTGTGGCTGACGAGGCTACTTTCGTTGCAAACCTGCAGCTAGCGAAGCGACCATGACTGGCTCGGCGCGCTCACGCTCGCGTTCGCGACCGTCGCAGGCACTTGTGGTGGTTGACCACCGGTTCCCACCCTCACATCACATCACATCACGGCACGCCGCGTCCCTTCCGTACCCCAACCCCAACCCCACCCAACTCCCTTGACCGAACCTGCTTGCGGGGACTGGTTGTTACCCAATTTCACCGCTTCGAACCTTTGCACAAGGATTTGAAGCACACTTCGTTCATTTGTATTAGAGCACACAGCATAGGAGCAAAGGAAGGCGGTCGCCATTGAAACGCCGCGCTGCTGCTCGTCTCCTCACTGCCGCACGCCATGGCCCTCCGCACACCCTTCGTGTCCACCCTTTCTCCCCACCCTGCGCTGCCCAGGTCAGTGCGAGCTAAAGGTGCAGTGCAGTTAGTCAATCAGCCCTATTTAACGGTTTTTATTTCATTTTGTTTATATTTATTTTCTTTGCATTTTGCTCATTTGTGGATCTCTGTTGACTCACGCGCCACTTTGTTGATTCAGTGTGAGATTGTTTATTTCCAATCATGCGCATCACCCCACCATCTCATCCCCCTTTCACTCCGCCCCCCCGTTCCACCCCGCTCGTTCTGCCCCTTTCAGTCCGCCCTCCTCGTTCCGTGCCCCCCATGCCCATCCAGCCGTCGGGTCGCTCAGTGCAGCCGTTGGGTTGCTCAGTGCCTCTCTCCGCCAATCACGGCGCCTCAATCCCGAGGTAAGAGGAGAGTGCAAAAGAATCTTGACATACACGAATGAATCAGCAATATACAACTCGACTTCGAAATGAGCTGACATTCCTCATCGGCCTATCTCGGTGATTGGGCTGATTGATCAAGTCAGGATAAGCTCACCTGGCTCATTCGGCTGATCCGGTCATGAGCTAAGCTGACCTGGCTGGTCATGAGCTGACCTGGTGGGTCATGAGCTGACCTGGCTGGTCATGAGCTGACCTGGCTGGTCATGAGCTGACCTGGCTGGTCATGAGCTGACCTGCTGTCATGAGCTGACCTGGCTGGTCATGAGCTGACATAGCTGGTCATGAGCTGACATAGCTGGTCATGAGCTGACATAGCTGGTCATGAGCTGACATAGCTGGTCATGAGCTGACATGGCTGGTCATGAGCTGACCTGGCTGGTCATGAGCTGACCTGGCTGGTCATGAGCTGACCTGGCTGGTCATGAGCTGACCTGGCTGGTCATGAGCTGACCTGGCTGGTCATGAGCTGACCTGGCTGGTCATGAGCTGACCTGGCTGGTCATGAGCTGACACGCAGCGCCTTGCTTGCAGCACCCTCTGCACTTGCCATCCCAACCAGGTGAGGTGGGTCGCTCACTGATTTCACCTTTTTGGCTATGTCATTCCGACATCACCCCATTTGCCCCTGCCCATGTCAATCTGAGATCACCCCATCCCCCCCAATGTCGATCTTATCCCATGGCAGCCCTATTTGAACCCAACCCCCCAGCCCATGTCAATCCAACCCATCCCCACAGCCCCGATGAATCGCATCTGAACCCGCCCCCCCCGCCCATGTCAATCCTAAGATCCCATCCCCACCGCCCCTGTCATTCTGTCTAAACCCCTAAACCCATGAACCCCTAAACCCCTGAATCCATTAACCCCTAAACCCCTAAACCCCTGAACCCATGAACCCATAAACCCCTGAATCCATGAACCCCTGAACCCATGAACCCATGAACCCGTGAACCCATGAACCCGTGAACCCATGAACCCATGACCCCATGAACCCATGAACCCATGAACCCATGAACCTGTGAACCCATGACCCCATGACCCCATGACCCCATGAACCCATGAACCCATGAACCCATGAACCCATGAACCCGTGAACCCGTGAACCCGTGAACC